AACATTACATAAAAGGGTATGGACCTTTTTTTCAATAGTTTTATTCATTTCAAACGGGCGGATCCGGCCCACGAGCCATAGTTTGCCCACGGCTGCTCTAGATAGAAGGTCTTGCTTTGGCTATAAGCTGCAACAGTTGCTCTTAGGCCAATGAGAAGTCCCAAGGAGGACATTAAAAAAAAATATATATATATATATAATGTAATTGATTTCAGAGAGGAAGCAAGAGGGAGAGAGATAGGAACACCAATAATGAGAATCACTGACAGCTGCCTCCTGCACGCCCCCTACTGGACATGTGCCCTGACTGGGAATTGAACCATGACCTCCTGGTTCATAGGTCCATGCTCAACCACTGCTTACAATGGCCGGGCCCCAAGGATGATATTCTAATAACCAGACCTGTTTTAAGAGCTTCTTAATATTTTTCTCTTGTTCCTTCCAAGTAACAATGATGAGAACTGATTTCAGAGTGTGGTGAATCCCATGTCACCTCCCTATAAAGAATGATTGACTAAGCCCGGCTGGTGTGGCTCAGCAGTTGAGTGTTGACCCAGAAACCAAGAGGTCACCAGTTCGATTCCTGGTCAGGGCACATGCCCTGGTTATGGGCTCGATCCCCAGTAAGGGGCGTGTAAGAGACAGCCAATCAATGACTCTCTCTCATCATTGAAGTTTCTATCTCTCTCTCCCTCTCCCTTCCTCTCTGAAATAAAAAATATATATATTTAAAAAAAAACAAGAATGATTGACTAAGATATTAAAATCCTTAATTATCAAGCCTTGAGTATTAAGGAAGTTGACTACTTCCCCTGTATCCACATGTATTCAATCCCACAGGGAGATACAGTGACTGTAATAATTTGGAGTGTAAATGTGTTCACCTGCAAAAATGTTTTCTTGACTTTGAAAACATTTCTTTCAGTATGGCTAAATAGATAACTGACAAAAACATATTATTTTAAAAGGAAATGTTTAAGGAAGTGGCTCTGGGATGAGAGATTCTATTAACTTACCTCAGGCTTAACAATGACTTAGAATCAAAACCTTTTTACAGGTTTTATTTGAATAAGTGTGAGTCACATGGCCCCTATTTATAAAGCTCTAGGCACACCACTGACTTTATCTTTTTAATCTTAGATATGCAGAAATGAAGCTAATAAAAGTAAAAGAATGGGCCTAATGAAACTTTCAAGTAGAGGGATATGTTTAAATCCAGATCTGTCTTAATCTGTGCTTTAAAAAATATTGTTATACTCTTTCCTGTTGATCATTGTTCTAGTTCAGTTTCTGAGAATTAAACTTCAGTGAGTTTATCCTGGTATTACCGACACTTTTAAACAAGCTTCACTTACTTACTCCCATTCATATTGTCATCCACAATTATTAATGCTACTTCCTGTAACTACATTCAAGTCTAGGTCCTAAGAACATTACTCTGAAGGTTCTGCCTCACTCATTCATTCATTCATCCATTCACTTATTTATTCACTTAGTCATTCATTACATAAATATTTATTATGCTAAAATTAAAAAAATAATAATCATCTGAGGTCCTTGACCCTATTCTTGTAGGAGAGACAGAATTTGGGTTCAATAAGAAGTGCAGAGGTAGAAATCTATGCAGTATAAGGTTGAGTTTAAAATACAGTGTAAACAATTATAAGAGTGGGCTAAGGAAGGTTTCATTTCAGAATGAAAGATGATGCTTGAGTGTTGCTATGATATCAGGTCAAATGACTCTTAGACTAAAATAATGGCAAAAGAAAGCAGCTATGAGTACTAATTTGAGAACATGTAAGCCGTATTGGAGAATGTAGACTTTACGATGTTTGAGAACTGCTAAGGGTGTTGATCAGGGACGCAACCTCATCAGATTGGCATTTTAGAAAAATCACATTTTGTGTGATGGATCTAGTGGGTGGATGTGGCAAAATTGGGAATCACAGAGCACATTTGAGAAACTGTTGTTGCCCAGGCAGGAGATAACTGTGGCTGACCTGAAATAAGTAAGAGGGTATAATTGAATTAGAAAATCGGTGTAGTTTCCAGCATTTAATTTACTCTCATCACAGAGGTGGCCTAGGGTAACTGGCTTGAAAACACCAAGAAAGAATAAAATTTAGTATAGTCCCACATTTGTCCATGTAAAATAGGGAACAAATATAAGAATGAGATGAATGAGGCTATTTAATTTTTTAACTAACTTTTCAACTTACGGTCCCAAATATATATCATTTTCTACAACTTTGCCTTCTAGGAGATGATGGGAATCTATTGACTTAGACTTTCTATCATGTGTTACGTTAAAAAATATTTGGGCTTCTAGAACTTCATTCTGCAGTCATCTTACCTAGAACTATGTGGATCATGTGATTTGCTTCCACACATTTTCATAATGTTTTGCACATAGTAGATAGCTCAAATGTTGATTTAATAAAATCTTCAGTGAAAACTATATAGATACAGAGGCAGAGAAGCATTGACCAGACTGTCAAATTACAGTGGGAAGGCTGGGGAGTGTTGAGCAGGGGAGGTAAGAGATCAACTGAAGGACTTGTATGCACGTTTATAAGCACAATCAATGGACACAAGACACTGGGAGGGGAATCTGTAATACTTTAAACAATAAAATAAAA